CGGAAATGGGAGACTGTGAAAGCTATTTAATAGCTAAATAGCTCCATTAGTACAGTTTGCATGGCACTACAAACCATAATCATGGCACTGAGCGCAACGGTAACGTCATAAAGCAGGCACGGCGCTCTGCGTGACATGGAGCGAAAGGAATAGGGGCAAATGGGGTCATTTTTTTGCGATGTGTGTACTATCCACGGCTGAGCAAATGGAGGCCGACTCGGTACAAACCGGCATAAATGATTCTTGTCCATGCATTAGCACATTCGTCTTTTCTGAGAGTTTAGTGGCCAGAGTCTTTTACTACTTTGGCATTTGAGCCAGTTCCAAAAACACGCTGCTTGAACATTAGTGGCCACGAGCCGGTTCAATGTTAGCCGTTGGGTCAGTGAGCACGATACATTTAAACAAAGTAACGCTTTCAATGACATGTCAACGAGGCAAAAAAACACCAATGTTGTGACCAGGTGCTCGGTGCCAGTGAACTCGAACTGAGCTTCGCGCCTGCGTAGATTTGATGGTTCAACCTCCCTCGACTGACGCCACAGGGGTAAATCATTGAGGGCATAAGGGCCGACCCTAATCAGACGATGATTCCGCTTCCTGGTCGATTGCAGACGTATCTTCGGGTCTGGCAGCGTTGATCTTCCAGTATGATTTCCGGACGGTACGCACGGTTACAAGGTGTTGTTAGCTCCACGTCTATCTGCCCAGGTGGCTAAGGTCTGACGGCACTTCTTAAATGAAGAAATGGTCTAACTCGAATACATGTGATTGGCTGTACAAATCTAGCCACACTTTCGTCATTACGAATCCCCTTCCTCTTCTGCGACGAACGGCTTCGGCCCCGCGTCGCTGCGACGCAGGCCAGGCGACAGAACTAGTCCAGCACCCATGCAGCACCATTCAGACTAGACCTGCAAACACTCTTAGGGCATTTGAACGTCCATTACCAATGCCAGTCTCTGAATGAATTCAATGCACTGCTGAATCCGTGTTGGACGAAACATACATAGGTTCCATTGCACAGGTGACACCAAGAAGTTCCTCCACAACCTGTCACTAAGATATAGCAATATTAATGTTAATTAACTCAGAAAGTACATGGGTAGGTAATCAGAAAATCAGTTGCTGGTGGAGCTTATTCAGTTGTTCAACGTGCTTAAACGAACTTCGTCACCTTGCTCTACCTTTCACGTATCATTTGATCAGACAAATGTAATTTCCTCGGTAATACCAGTGTTTTCAAAATCCTTCTGAAGACAGGAGGAATTTCATTCCACATGCTACTTACCATTATTAAAATAATACACTTAATTTACCTTGCTTTTTCCAATGTGTGTCTGTAAAGCTTACAACACCCCTTATTTTGTCGAAGTCACTGTGTAACAAAGGCTACTAAAGCTTAACAAAACTATTTTTACCGAAAAAGATATGCAAACATATGGCTATTATCACACGAATTCAACCAAGCGTTATCGTGGCTTTCATTTTCCTCCTACGGTGTTTACAACAGTGACTCTTTCCGCGGCGTCTTTGGCTTTGGGAAAAGAAGTATCAAATGGTCCAAAGTAACGCACTGCGGCATTTAAATCAATGCCTTTTTCGGTAACTTACCCTAGCTCCTCGCTGTGTCATCAACGTTTATTTTATTACCAACGTTACCAACGTTTATTTGTGCTCACGTCATTTATATCAGTGCAAGTGTCAATTTTAAGTCCGCTGGCCGGCAATATGCATATTAAAACAGCTCAAAAGTGGTACCTCTAATCCGTGACAGCTGACGACGACCCCTGCGCAATCTCTGCCGTCGTCATGACAACGGTGGTCGCGCCCACTGCAGTTGTCACGGACTCGGGATGCACTCTGGAGCTAGCAAGAAAAAAGTGTGGTCTACAAAAAAGTCAAACAAAGTCAAGAAAAAAACATATTGACGGTAATTTGAGTTAAAAAATAATGGCAATGCATGTCATTATTACATCCTTATGGTGGAGAAGTAGCACTAGCCAGTGATATAGTTTTATCTACATAGTCCAGAGATTCGAGGAGAAATATCTGGGCCATGTACGATTTTTCTCAAATATACACCAAAGAAAGGACACTCCATTCCAATGTAGAGTTTTTAACAGAAATGGACATCTTGAAGACCCTTTGGTGAACACGCACCCCTTCACAACCCTGCCCTTCTTAAGACCTAAACCCGTGTACTTTCTGAGCTATTAAATGCTCGCGAATATGGGGAAGATATATCGGGATGGTGTTTCACTGTTACCATGGAATTGATGACATGGTAGTTATGCACTTAGAGCCCTGCCATCAAATAATCCACGTACCGATCAAAGCCAAGGAAAATATAATTGTCGAGCCATTCATATCCGACCTTCGTGACCGCGATTTCTAGACGTAATAGGCGAGATGATGTAGCCATACCATGGATATTGAGTAGTATAGTTACTAAACAGATAATTGTGCTGTGTGGAGCGGTCTTCCGCAATTAAGAAGTACCCCAAAAGTTATAATTGAGCTGGTTTCATCATATCTGATGGTTGCTTGAATATCTTTAAATGTGAAACATTCCCTTTAAGGACTTATTCATTTTAGGTTTTCAACAAGATGCAGTGCAAATGTCAATTCAGTTGACTCTGCACCCGAATCTGACCCAGCGCCTTCCACTGACTACGTGACATTGACATGCTCACTTTTTATTCGTCCTCACTGTGTGGCATGGGAGGAGATAGTTAAGCTCATCTGTATAGCTTGTGGTTGGTTGTACCACATTTTTACATTCGTGCGTAATGTTAAACCCAGGACTGACCATGGACATGGCAATTCATTGGTCACTCTTGCAACACAACTACACAGTTTCGATTAAATTCACCCATACGTAATAACCATTTTCGATCAACTCAACGTGTTTCAATTCGTGACTTCATTCCTTTTTTCGTACATCAGGGTCACAATCATACATCATACTCAACAAACACAGAGTCAAGAGTCAGTTGTAATCACTTATTGGTAAGTGATGTGTTTTGAGTTATGATTCGACGCTCAAAGTTTTTAATCAGAATTAATTCAACTCAGATGAAAGTAAATCGAGTGTCAGTCTGTCTCTCATTACTTCGAACAAAGTCGTACATGGCGTAGCGTGACCAAAACTTACTTCATTACACTCTAAGCAAACGGAATGTTTTTCAGACCTACAAAGATGCAAAAAAAACTAACAGTTTTACGAAACGATTGAGACCAGGTGCTAACTACTACGCATCAAAAATTTAGTCCAACTATTGTTCTCGTCGTGCTTCAGTATAAGAACACGCATCGGATATTTAAGGGAATGTTTTACAGTTGAAGATGATAAAAAGGTATCAGATATGATAAAATCAGTTCACTTACTATTGCTATGTTTTTTAGGTGGGGCTGCTCTCGACAGCATAATTCCCTGTTCAGTAAATATGCTCCTCAGTGCGTCATGCATTTATTACGCCATCGTATCTCGAACAATACTGATAAAGAGCCAATTGAAGCCATCATATCTGAAAATCGCGCTCACAAACGCCAGATATGAACGCATCGACAACCAATTTTTTCTTCATCCTGATCACCGCATGACTTATGGAATCGGAAGACTTGTATAACGCTTTTATGACGTTATTATGATGTTATGGATGCCGAGGTCACTTTAGAATGTTCTCCGCGATATACCTTTCCCCAACATCGGGGGCATGTAGCTCAGAAACTAGAAGGGCTTAGACTTAAAGAAGGGCACGGTTGCAAACAGTACCGAAAGGTCTTCAAGATTGCTATTTTAAGTTTAAAACTCCATGTAGATGTTGAATGCTCCTTTTTACCTTTCAGCCATCGTCAGATACTTGAGAGTCCTCAGGACTGGATGATGGTTGACCATCAGTAAGGTATGCGTGACAGCCCGACGTAGTTTTTGTGAACGGAATTTTCTTCATCTGATTCGAAAGCAAAATATTCTCAACTCCATGTAGGAAGTTGGCCGTGACTCATAATGGCTTACAGCCAAGCATCATCCAGTTTTACTCAGGACTCCATAACACCGGACGACAGTCGGAGAGTCAGCTGGTCGGAACGTTGTGTGCGTACTACTACACCAGACAAGGATAACAGTTCAAAATATTCTGCCAACTGAAAAAATCCCTTCAAAATAAAGTTTACCGCACAATTCATAGCACGGCCTAAGCATAACCAAATAGCCCTGAAATCCTGCCTCAGGTGAGGGCGTACAATTAATACTTCAACTGTGATTCACAAAACCATGTGACCTTTTAAACCCAGGAGTTTTCATTATGTAGATCGTAATCTCATGATAAAGAACCATATTTAACCATAGGTGACATGCCATGAGGCCAACATTACCCAAAGTGTGATGCAGATCATTGATGCAGACACATCACACTGCGGACGTCATCACACCCTAGCAGTGCGAATAGTGCGAATGATGTTTAACATACGATACTAACGACTGCAATAGTGTCGTTTTGATAGAAAATAGGCAACGAAATATAACATGACAGCATCAACCAATTTTTCACACCAGATCCTTCCGGTCCCATTTAAGCATGCTACAGGACATAGCTCGCCGGCGTGATTTGTTTCAGAATTATGCCGCATAAAACAATGGGAGGCATGCACGAACTCGTGATGAGCTATGTGGGCACATGCGACACATTTACATCATGTCAGGAGTTTTAATATGCTAAAAGCCTTGAAAAAAACTCCGCAGCACTTGGAAAACAAAACTTTACTCGAGCCAACTTATTCGTTTTTTTGACGGTGAAATATCAACAATCAGATATCACACTGCAATGTAGCACAAAATGTGAGAAATACTCAACATACAACGGTATACGAACAACGCCACGTTTTCTCTCTCGTGACTCCGACCTTACTCGTTACCAAGGGCACGGCAGTGGTCTGCTATAAAACCGCGCCACTCGGTGCTCACGGCATCAGTCGACAAGACGGAGTACGCAGACATGAAGGTCAGTAATCCCTCTCGTTCACTGTGCATTGTAAGTATGCGTGGAATTGACTAGCAACTCCCATTTGAAAGGCAGTGACATGGTTCAACTGTACTGATGGCGAAAACCTTCAAGTAAAATATGAATGGAAAAAGCAAAGAAGCAACCTATTGTAATTTGTTTCCTGCAGGTATTCATCGCCGCCGCCCTCGTGGCCGTTGCCGCCGCTGCTCCTGCCAACAGCTACGTCCCGCAGCCGACGTACTCTCATGGCCCGAGCTACCGCCAGCCGTCCTACAAGGAGCCGGACCACTACGACACGCCCTACCAGTTTGATTACGCTGTCAACGACCACTACTCTGGTGCCGTCTTCTCCCAGAACGAGAACAGCGACGCCAAGAATGTCAACGGCTACTACTCGGTCAACCTGCCCGACGGCCGTACCCAGCACGTCAAGTACGTCGCTGACCACGACGGCTACGGAGGCTACAACGCCGAGGTGACCTACACTGGCGAGCCCCACTACGAGGAGCACAAGCCAAGCTACCACCTGGCCCCGGCCTACAAACCCGCTCGCTCTTATGCCCCGGCCCCGGCCTACAAGCCTGCTCGCTCGTATGCCCCTGCCCCGGCGTACAAGCCTGCTCGCTTTTATGCCCCTGCGCCGGCCTACAAGACCAAGTACTAAACACCTAGTGCTTTCTGGTGTGTGAGAACCTATTTATAATATGCAGCGAAATTGCTCTCGTGGGGTGTTATCTCAAGTGTTGTGGTGATAAAGGCAATACATTGGTGCACAAGAGAACGGACGTTTTCGTGACTACGAGAGTAGAGGAATCGACCGAATCCCAACGGAAATGCAGATGATCCGGAGAACCCGGCCCCTCCACCGCGGCAGAGACACCCACATGTTAATACCGTTATTACTGACTGAAACGTTTAAGGCTGTGGCACCCCCAGCTAATAAGTTTGAAACATGGAAAAAGCTTGCAGCGTAACCAAAGGGGAAAGAAATTCACCATTGCTACTCTCATCATGCATCTATCAGTATGAATAATCAGTTATTATTATCACATCAAAGCATGCATGAGATACGATGATATAAGCTCAGTTAGACTTGTTGGTATAATTTCAAGCCGAAAACATAGCACTAGACAGCATAGTTTCTCTGCTGAGTCAATACGCTCTTGTATACGCGGTTGTTGTATGTCCTCGTATCTTGCACAACATTGACTGAGAGCCAATAAACTGCCGTTGTTTTTGGAAATCGTACTAACGAACGGAAATATGAGCGACTCGACAGTTCTATTTTTCTTGGCCTAGCTCAAAGAGAATCGACTCATGGATTACCTAAATGACTGTGCTGCATTTCACAACCAGCGTGGCTTCCACAAAAAGAACGGAACCACAGATATGCTCTTCACGCTTAAAGGGAATATCCCACGTTTGAAGAGATTTAGACAACCATTAGATATGATGAAACAGGCTCACTTATAAGTGTTCATATGGTTCTAAGTCGAAAACCCCGTTCTAAACAACACAGTTTTGCTGTTTGGTAAATATCCCCTATTATGCGCCATTGTTTCATTACGTCATCGTGCTTTTAAAGTGTACGATCTGAGTATTTGATGAGATTTATAACCAAAAATATGTAGCTGGAGTACATTAAAGAAGAGAGTCAATATTACCAGCACCAAAAACTGTTATGGATCAAAGCGTCCTTCGATAGCATGTTCGGGCTCATTAGAAGCTTTGGTGATATGCTCTTCCTTTAGGGATGTACTCCACATTTGCATGGGGATTTGAACTGCAACAGTCATGCTGAGTTTGTTCGGTTCAGTGCACAGCCCTGTCCTTCTTAAGACCTAAAACAGTTTAGTTTCTGAGCTAAACGCCCATGAAAATGTGCAGATTATTTTGGGGAGGCTATTTCAAGGTCACGCAGCAATCCATGACACCGTGGAAGTTCATTGAAATACTATCATTCTAATGGCTATGCGATGAGCAGTGCCAATAAAAATATAAATGCCTATTCGCTCATATCTGGCGTTCGTGAGTACGACATCCAGATATGACGGCCGTCGCTAAGCTCCCAATCAGCGTAGTGCAAAGTACGATGACGTAATCAAACAATGACGCATGCATATAATACTCCCCTAATACCCCCCAAAATACCCCCCTGGTATTCATAGAGGACAACGCAGAGCATACGTTATCAGCTTATGGAGAAGCTGGTATGGTGATTCCCCGAGTCTCTTTCTTGAGCGTAATTCCTATAAATTTGCATGTAAATGATCTGCCATCACTTACCTCTATATGACGTCTCTATTAAATCAATGTCCAAGAATTGTCTACTTAAGGTGAAAAGCAACGCCTTATGAGGAGTAATTTTTCACTCCTTTTCTCCAAAATTTGTGAATTTTCCACTTCTACCTGATGTTGCTAACCGCGCATATCAAAACCACATTTCCTTTTCCGAGGCTTTAAGATGTCAACCAAACCAACCTCACTTGAAACCATCAAGCATCAACAAGCTTCCAAAGAACCTGGACACCTATGGCTGTATTCCGCCTCACCTACATCTAAATCTTGTCTATTCATAAAAAGGGTAAGAGCACCAGGTACCTTCAAGCCCGAGGTCCCAAGCGACTCCATCCGCTTGCATGCATCAAGTTTGGTTTGTTTACAAAATGCATCACAAGTTACAGCCGTGTGCCAAACGCAAGGTTTTCACGCATCCGCAATTTTTTCGTCGCACCACGAGAGCACTACACCACCAAAACGACGCCCAGTACAAACATCTCCATAGTCTGGTAGGAAAATTAGCTCCACATATTTCTTTTACTCGAAAAAACTTGACCACTTGATTGCACCACTCCCGAGATGCAGGGGTGAGAATTCTCCGCAAAGTGTTCCAACTGCAAAGTGGTACTTATTTCATACAACAATTGCATTTATTCGCCAGCCGCACAAGCATGCTTGATATGCACCCAACAGTGAACAATTCACAGACGATGAAGGAGGCAATTTGAAGCAGAGAACTTAATTGCAGCATAATTTTTGCCCTGTTTAACTCTCAGTTAGCCGCGTTTTTGTTTAGTGGGTGGGCTCAAAAGTGATAAATTTAAGCCATTCAGGCTCACTATCCGTCACGGTACATTATCCTGGCGTGCAGTTGCTTTGGGCCAGATCTGGCGCAGCTAATGCAGAAGTGTTTGGCAGCGAAATTCTGTATTGTCATGCAGACCTGCTGTTACTTTTGCGTTTTAATCTTATAGATTGGTGGGCATGATTTATTTTTATGTTGTATGGGTGAGATGAATGATCCTGTTTGCCACCAAACCATGCGAAAAATTAGTTGTGTGGGGGGAGCGGAAAAAAGCGTGCCCTAAAAAAGGCAAGAAATGTCTCCGATGGAGCAACTCATTGCCAACCCTGCCCGCTTTCAACACATGATTTGTAACCAGATTTAGTCATTGTCTATTTTAATCCATCAAGTTTTCTTCGTCACACAATTTATGATAAAACAAGGCTCGTAACTGAGCTATTTTCTTCCATACTTTCAATTATTTGCCTCATATTCGTTGAAGTGATCTCTCGTCTTAATTGCATGGCAAGTGGCAGCAAAAATTTTGCAAGAATTAGTGATTCACGAATGCTGCTGCGACAAAAATAGGCTAGGCGGGGTGAGTTGAGGTAAGGCTTCTTTAGGTTAGGCTTTGTCACGTTACTTTCGTGGACATACGCATTGGTATTTTGCAAGAAACAATAACATAATATTTGTATGTCCCGACCCCATCTTAACAGAAGCCAGAGGTATGCCTGATGTGTTTTATTTGACGTGCTGATGTGCAGGGGTCAAAATATTTTTTGTTTAAATGCTTTATGATTGTTGAAGTCTTTGTTGTTGTTTTTGTTGTTCAATTTCTTTGCTTTATTCTATGTTGAAATATCCTGTGAAAGGAAAGTGCAAAGTGCAGCATCAAAACACTGGTCCTATATGGTTTTCATGACCACAACACCGCTACGAAATAGCTATCCTTTAATGTATTCTGTTTCACTCTAATAGCCTAAGATGTTAAAAACAGAAACGGTTTTGTCATGTTTATGATAAATCGTCCATGCCAACTTGAAATGTATGTCTTTGTTTACTGAAGCATATGTTACTGGCTAAAAAGTTCCAACTTTTGTGACTGGAATTTCTCACTCCCGCACGGTCTTTTTTGCGATGGAATTTTTCATTTCTACGCTGCTCCAATGATTCTAGCTCACAGCAATACTTGCGAAGACACTACTACCATATCAAAACACATGAATATAAATGGCCCGCAGAAACAAGTAAACCCATCTTTTAGAGTCATCAAGGAATGGTTGGAAGGGTCGCAGCGGTCGGAATTGAAAGAACAACCAAATTTGTTGCGATAGGCTCACCCAAGAGGACAGACACTGAGGGCTAAAACCAAGGCGGTAAAAAAGAGTTTAAGAAATTCGTGCAGCATCACTCTGCGGCAACTTGAAGCCTCGAAGTGAAAGTCACCGCAGGAAAAATCTGATCTAAAGGGGTCCCATAAGTGATGGAAACATGAGACGACGAAACTTATTTGGCAAAGAACGTCTCAGTTCGATGACAACGAATGCAGTGACGTCATTTTCATGTAACCAAGCCAACAAGCAGAAGCACAACCACATAAACCCTAATGCGCAAAATTTTATTTTGCTTACCGCTTCGAGATGTTAAAAGTTTCAGCTGGTTAGTGTCATTATATTCAAAAGTTTTGCCCATACAACAGTGGGATTAATGGAGTAATTCGTGGTGAGTTATACCGGTATACGCAAAGCCTGTCTGTCATATCAAACATTCTGAATGTAAAATTTTGAACTATTGTACAGCCAAATGACTATCACTTCAAGAAGTGCAACACAAAGCTTAACCCAAAAGCAATGACTTTTGCTTTACTGTGCGGCATCAAAAAATAAAAAAGAACACCGCAACCTGGCGTAAAACATCACGTGGGAACTCCCACATTTACATCTAAATACGAAGAACACCACATATTTGGTCACGAGACCCCCCCCTGCCTCGCTAGCAAGGTCACGATTGAGGTCTACTATAAAACCGCGCACCTTCCCGTTCACGGCATCAATCTACACGACCAACTCTGCAGACATGAAGGTCAGTAGCCCTGTCGTTCACTGCGTAATCAAAAACGGCCGAAATTCAGTAACAGCTCTCATTTAGTACGCAGTGTCATAAATATCTACCATTCCAACGCTCGGCAGTTCATGACATTGTGAAGCTAAGCGCTACCATCCGGGGGAATGCGAATAAAAGAAAGGAAAGCCGTAATCTATCATAATTTGTATTCTTGCAGGTGTTCGGTGCCACCGCTCTCCTGGCCGTTGCCGCCGCCGCTCCCTCCAACAGTTACGCCCCGAAGCAGGCGTACTCTCATGGTCCGAGATACCACCAGCCGTCCTACAAGGAGCCGGACCACTACGACACGCCCTACCAGTTTGATTACGCCGTCAGCGACCACCACTCCGGTGCCGTCTTCTCTCAGAACGAGAATAGCGACACCAAAAATGTCAACGGCTACTACTCGGTCAACCTGCCCGACGGCCGTACCCAGCACGTCAAGTACGTCGCTGACCGCGACGGCCACGGAGGCTACAACGCCGAGGTGACCTACTCTGGAGAGCCCCACTACGAGGAGCACAAGCCCAGCTACCACCCGGCCCCGGCCTACAAGCCCGCTCGTTCTTATGCCCCGGCCCAGGCGTACAAGCCTACTCTCTCCAATGCCCCTGCCCCGGCCTACAAGCCCGCTCACTCTTATGCCCCGGCCCCGGCCTACACGCCCACGCTCTCTTATGCCCCTGCGCCGGTCTACAAGACCAAGTACTAAACACCTTGTCCTTTCTGTTGCGTGTGATCACCTATTGATAACGTGAGGCAAATTCGTTCCGGTGGAGTCTTGTATAAAGTGTTGTGCTGACCAAAGCAATACATTGGTGCACCAGAAAACGGACGCATTCCTCACTCCAAAAGTTGATCAGTCGACCGAATTCCCACGGAAATCCTGTTGGCAGGTGTTTCTCACTTTTTCACTTACAACTGCGCAGTAGAAGTTTTATGCGAGGCTCAACAGTGATGTATACGAAGATAGATGCCTAGGTGTGAAAAGGGGATCACAAAAATATCTGACGAGCAGTCATAAACTTGTCTTTTGATAACCAGTGCCTTCTCTGCCCACCTATACACGGCGGCGGTAAGTTCATCTGCACCACGGAGCACATAAACGACAACTCACATGCATTTTAATCTTCACCATTTCATTGTCAAATCCATTTCAAGAACATTTCAAGGTCACCCAGATATCAATGGCGCCGCAGTAACGTCATTCAGGTTTGGCCATTCCATCAGCCATGTGGCGATCATGACCAAGAAGAATATTAGTGTCGAGTCGTCTACATCTGACGTTTGTGATCACAATTTCCAGATATAACGGTCGTCAATGGGCTCTCAATCAACGCAGTGCAAGGTTCAATTATGCAACTAAACCATGGCGTATTGAGGAGCATACTCACGCAACAGAGCAATTGGGTTGTCTAGAGCTGTCTTTTCCATTTAAAATGGTACCAACAGTTATCAGTGAGCCTATTTCGTCGTATCTGATGAGTGCTGCTTAGTTTATGCTACATCTCATCTCAGTCGATTCTGGATGAAGATGCCTTGCCTTAATTGAAGTTGTCATTATATGGCACCTAGGGACAGATAAGGCTGGTAGATGTGTTCATGAATGTCTGGAGCATTTTCTGATGCGACTGTTGCGAGGGTAGTCCACTTGGTTTACTGGATTAATGCCATATTAGGAAGTGACCTGCGCCAACGATACCCAAACACCTCCCATGCATCTTGAAAAACTTCATCTACGGAGACCTACATATATTCCAATACGCGAAGTTTTTCAATTTCCTGAGGCTGATACAACACAAATTGGAACAATAGAATGTGTATGAAATCATACCCTTCGGACCCTGGTGCCTGCTAGACCGGTAGCCTCCTACGTCAAAACAGGTGAACCTCTCAGCAGCGGAAATCTCCGAATGAATCCTTGGCATGTGCTTTAATGTCTTCCGCTGACCTCTGAAGGTACTTTTTTCACACCTTTCATTGCGGTGATGGGTACTTGATATCTGGGTGTGGTTTACGCCTGTGTTGCGCAGGTTGTTTGATGTCAGCAAACGAAACTCATCTCATGATTATTTTTTAGCCGCAGCCAAACTACACGTAATGGAACACATTTTGATCAAATGCCCTGACAATTGTAGCACAACATTAGGGAAAATAGGTTTCCTAACCCTGAGAAGTAATAAACATGCCATCAATGTCCACAAATATACACATTTCTGGGCATGTAATGGGCGGGCCGGCATGGTGGCACATCTCGACATTCTGTCATCGTTCATCAGACACTCAATGGGCACAACTCGTACCAAGATATATCGCGAGATAAATGTAGCTGTATCCTCTGGTGTACTCACGGACAATTGTGTGCATTGCCCCCCCCCCCCCCCCCCCTCTCCTGTCTACAATGATCATTGCTACTGGACGTGAACAATGAGGAATCCACGCCTTTTCGTGTTGAAATCAGGCAATAGAAATATTAAAATTTAATCTCATTTTCACTGCAACTGGGAAGTAGCTAGATACCCCACGTGGCTTGTTTCCAGCACGCACAAATGTTCACTCATGTAGCCACGCCCGTCGTTCCATTCAAGGTCAAGACCGCAGGCTTGCATAAGCCAGACCATTCGCCAATTACAGCATCGGTTGACAAGACCTACTCTGCGAACATGAACGCAAGCACCAGGACTCTTGTCGAGTGCCGTATGAATCAAAGCCAATAACTGAGCATCAGGTATGCTTTGCGTTGAATGACACAATTTCATAGCTCACAAACGACGTGAGCTTGAACGCGGGGAAATGCTGAATACTGACAACGCAATACCTAATTATCCTTCTAGTTCTCAGCCGTAGTCTGCCAAGTTTTCTCCATCCGAGTTCTTCTTCGACTAAATATATCAGATTCTTTCCATTGGGTATTCCCTGGGAACACTCGCTGAAAACACCCACACTGAAGGTCTTCATCTCCCCGACCTCCAGGGAATGAGGCCCTGCACGAACTGACCCATGTTCAATCCTGGCCTGGTTTATGCACAGCCGCGGTCAAATTATATGCGTGCTGTATTGAACCCCATGTGTGCAGTTCCGCGCATGCTGGCCAGCACACGAGGCGACTTTGCCACGGCTCTAGATGTGATATTGGCAAACAAATTTGAACATGACTAGACATGAACATGAACATGAACAATTTGAACATGACTTTGAACACGATATTGACTCATCTGCAGAAAATATATATACTTGGTTTTCGGATGCACTTCTCCCATCCCTCGTGTTGTGCAAGTGTTTTTGTTGGCTTAATTAACAGGATAAGGCTCGTAATATCATTGCGTATTTTCATTTAGTCCATGTGCCTTCTCGGTATGCCGTGCGGTTTTAGAACTTAGATAATCGTGTTTTCACCATAAAGATATCCTTTACATATGTTTTCATCCAAGTTGAAGGCTATGCCGTGTTATGGTCCGGGCGATTTGTAGTGGAATTACTTAAAAAGAATGGGCACAAACATGACGCCACACATCACGTGTCGCACATGTTCCAAGAAAAACAGCTCACTGAAAACTTGCTTTCATAAAACCCTTCTGACCTGAAATCCGGTTTAATCACGAATATTTGACTTTTCTGATATAGTAGAAAAACCCTCCTACACACCTACTTCGACACGCGCTCGAGTGTGGGTTAACTTGTCCACCTCCCCCTGAAGGCTTCGGGAGTGGTTCCCGAAGGCGCGGCGTAGCCACGTCAATTTTGCATCACTGTAGACAACGGAATAGCTGATCGTTTGGTATCAAAGATGCAGATGTTCGTCGTAAGGTCGCTGACCTACGACAGGCCAAAGTCAGGACATGGATGCAGCGAGATGGTTTCTAGGCAATCGGTTAAACTGATACAAAAACGGAGTGTTAGACGAAGTCATACGTCTCTAACATAGTTTCAATACAAGTGGCCTAGGGTCAGGGATAAAGGTCAGCCCGAAGTAAAAGCTAGCCTGTTTTTTATTCTAGAACTTGTTATATATGGTAGTGTGTGGCGCTCATTTTGGGGTTCTTGATCACAGGAACCTCATTATACAAGTTACATGGATTCCTTGAAAATCAATACAGGTCACTGACACAAAACGACTAAGGTCAACATTGTGTTTTTTGGAACTTGCTACCTAGCGTAATTCCTGACGCTTATGCAACTGCTAAAACAATAGTAGCCATGTATGATTTTCGTTGCCATGACATCAGACAGGTCTAACATTCATATTCAAACAAACACAAACATATACATCAGAATGTAACTAAGCGCGGCTGCGTTTTATGTCATAGGTGAAATCTTTTGACAAAACATAGTTAGTGAAGCGGATATTCAGACATCGTCTTACCACGAGCACGCCGTCTGCAGTGCGTAAAATGCTCGCAAATAGAACTTACCTTGCCCTGTTGAGTCTCCAATAGTCGCCGTGGAAGCCCAACTTAGGTAGATGGTTGAAGTTATGCTGACCACATTTTTGATGTGGCGAAACGCGTAATGGTAGGTTCGCCTTTCAGGATTTATTTTCATATATGGCTCGCCAACGAGGGCCCACGTGGATCTATTGAAGATGTATTACCTCCATGGCGACCTCCACGGCGACGCCACCACAAGTATAGATAACCATATCGTCTTGATAAAGATATCTTCTGATGGTCACCTCTTTCCTACGCTTTCATCAAATTACAGTCCAAAAGATATGCGGACAGCCAAACCAACGTTTGGGGATGGACAACTTAACCTTGCAAGGGTCAGCGGCGTCACAAAACATATAAATATATAACCATGTCTCCATACCCCAATGAAAACAAATTTGGTAACAGTTTTACGGGATGATTGAGACGAAGCTTTAGAATCACCAATGAGAAAATCGTTCCGACTGTCGTCCCCATAATGTGTCAGTACGTAAACAAAGCTTCGGCCGGCTACCTCTTTGGCCATCGTCCAGTGTTTTGGAGGCCTCAGAACGACTAGATGGTACTTAACTATCATCAGGTGTGCGTCACAGCCGGCAGCAGATTTTAGGAACAAAATTTTCTTCATGCGATTCGCAGGCGTAGTGTGTAGTACTATTATATTATTATAATACACAATGTCGTGTAGGAATTCTATTATGGCTCACCATAGCTCAGAGGCAAGCATCATCCAGTCCGCCTCAAAACCCAGGACACATGACGACGGCTGAAGACATCACGGGCCGAAGCATGGTGTGCATACACCCACACCGGACGGGGACGATAGTCTGAAATATTGTTCCATCCGAAAATGTCCTCTTAAAATCCAGACCTTTGCACAATTCATTGCACGGGCTATAGAATAGTCAAATAATTCAGAAATCCTGTCCCAGGCGAGGGCGTACCTTAATGCCTCAGCTGCAATTCACATAAAACATGTCATTATTGAATCCCGTGAATACGTCATTTTGTCCAAATGCATCATCATCTCGTGAAAAATAACCATAATTTCCCATAGGTGACTTACTTCAAGGTCAACACTACGTGAAGGGTGATGCAGATAATTTAAACAACCCACAGACTCACAACAATGTGGACGTCATTACACCTCCAACTGGGCAGACACTTCGAATGAGATCCTGATACCTTGCCAGCACTTCCAATGATGTAAGGTTGATAAGAAGCAGATGAGCAAGCGTAAAATGGCTACATCGACTAATGTTTCACATTCCTGTTTCCCATTTAAGCATGCTACGTGGCGAAGTTGGCCAGAGGCATCTGTACCAAAGTTAAATCCCCTAATTCAAGGAGCATTACGTAAGTTCTTCGGTGCGTTAGCGGGGAATATTGTTCACATAGACAGTAGTATTAGCCTTAGTCATCAGAGAAAAACCAGGAGAATGGGGATCTATGTTTGGTTGATATTTCAGCCACATGCCTTTAGCGAAATAATAACAGAAGTGAATTCACTTTTGCTATAGTTTCGGTAAAGGCATATTGCAGAAATATCAACCCACCTATATCTCCAAACCTCGTGTTTTTTCCGAGGAATAAAACTGCTACTACTGTCTTATGTATGAAAACAAGGAGAAGTATGAAGTAACTTGTGATGAGTTATGCGGGTATATGCAACACATTAGCATCTTTCGAGGCATTCTCATTTGAAGAAATATGAAGCACTGTACAAGTCAATGCCAACAACTACACCTAGGGCAGTACAAAACTTAACGCATCGGCATTTGTTTCATTTCTGCGATGCAGTGTCAACATAAAATATCACAATGTGATCTGAACCACGAATGGAAACTGCTGCGCTGACATCTAGACACGTACAACGCCACACATTCTGTCATGAGACCTGGCTCTCCATCCCTAGCACGGCCACCACAGTAGTCTCCTATAAAACCGTGCCAATTGCCGTTGACAGAATTAGTCCACAAGACTAACTCTGCAAAAATGAAGGTCAGTAGCCCATCTTATTCTCTGCAGAAAGCAGAACGCGTAGCTTTGAGTGCCACCTCTCATTCGAACCACAATGTCATGGCACCGTTGAATAACTGAGAAATACTTTTAGGCGAAATATCCCTGGAAGGACGCATGAACTACAATCTATAATAATTTGATTCCTGCAGGCTCATCACCATCATCTGCGGGCTCATCACCGCCGCCCTCCTGGCCGTGGCCGCCGCCGCTCATGCGAAGAGCTATGCCCCGAAGCCGGCGTACTCCCATGGCCCGAGCTACCACCAGCCGTCATACAATGAGACGGACCACTAAGACACGCCTTACCAGTTTGATTGCGCCTTCAACGACCACTACTCCCGTGCTGTGTTCTCTCAGAACGAGAACAGCGACGCCAAGAATATCAACGACTACTTCTCGGTCAACCTGCCCGATGGCCGTACCCAGCACGTCAAGTACGACGCTGACCAGCACGGCTAAGGAGGCTACAACGCCGAGGTAGCCTACACTGGAGAGCCCCACTACGAGGAGCACAAGCCTGGCTCCCACCCGGCAGCAGCCTACAAGCCCGCTCGTTGTCATGCCCGGGCCCCGGCCTACATGCCCGCTCGCTCCTATGCCCCGGCCCCGGCCTACAAGCCTGCTCGTTTGTATGCCCTGCCCCAGTGTACAAGCCTGCTCGCTCTTATGCCGCTACGCCGGCCTACAAGACCAACTACTAAAGCCCTAGTGTTTCCTGGTGGGTTACAACCTATTTATAATATGTAGCCGATTTGTTCTTTGGTGTCTTGTATCAAGTATTGTGTCTTGTATTAGTGTATTGAAGAATCTCTCTCTAAAAAAGGAATTATCTCGTATAACCGACCCATGCACTACCTTAACGAAGGCGCTTTATTTCGCATACAATTGGTTTAGTTTCCAGAAAAAATTGAAGAGCCATAAGTTGATTACGCTTACACAAGATCTTATCACCAATAGTTACGTCGAATCAGGAAGTCGAATATGCTTCAGAAGTAAACTTTGATTAGAAAAAGCTTTTGACACTGTTAATACTGATTTACTTCCTGACGTTTTTCAGGATGTTGGCATCATTCATACATTTATTAAGATACCCAAGTCAAAGTTAATAGATGTGCCTTGTAAGGTCGCTGACCTATTGGAAGTCAAAATCAGGCCTTGTTTCAGCGAAGGCAATTTCTAGGGAATCCTTCAATCTGATCCAACAACGGAGTGTTAGAGAAAGCCATACACTGCTGAGATTATTTCTTAGGCAACACAACAGTGGAACGAGCGAATGGCATTGACCTAAGTTCAGGTATGAAGGTCTAAACAAGGTCAAAACCAATCTGTTTTGTTAATCTGGGGATTGTTGTATGGAACAGATTCTGTTGCTCATTTTCGATTTATTTATAACAGGAACCGCATTATGCATCTTCCATGGACTTCTGAGAGGTCAGAACAGGTTATTAACCTAAAATAACCCAGGTCAGCATTTGGTTTGAGGAGCATACTGCCTAGCGTAATCTTTGTCGCTTAGTCAAATGCAAAACTCAGAGCAATCTTGCATGATTTTGGTCACCTTGACCTTCAAAAGGTTATTCAAGGTCACTTACCTTGAATGAGCATGTCACATTTTGCTTAGAAACGGTTCCTGGGGTCTGGGAGCACCTTGGAGACCAACCTTGAGCTTCAATTTGTTTGACCTTTTTGACCCAAAAGTCATGACCTAGGAACTTGAAAGTTCGCCCTAAGTGAGTTTACGTACAGGTCAATACACCTTGTAATTCTGGTGCCTCTAGCTTTCTTAGTTCCCGAGATCTCAGTCGGCGGGTCAAATTGACAACCCCCACCCGAGCGAAGGGTATCTAGCAGGCTACGTGGGCGCGTGTTAGAAAATAACAGACCATGCATCACGTACCTCATCCGCTTATGGGCAAGATGGTATGGTGGTTTCCTGAGGCTCCATCTGGGGCACATTTCCTACAAGTTCGCATGTAAATGATATGCCACTGCTTATCTCTGATATGACGTGTCAATGTTATGCAGACAACACTATCATTTTTTAAAAACAATGATATTCTTGAGTTAGTGCAGAAGCACTTCGCTTAGAACCATTACGGATTGGTTGGAACGGTTGGAATGGTCGGATTTGAAAGTGCAGGCAAAATTGGTACACTACACATTCTCAAGAGAGTTCGTCCCTGACCGCCGCCCAGGTCAGAGCTCGCGACCCTCGCCGACCGGGGTCGTAAACAGCCGTGTCAGGCCGAGCGCCAGTCCGTTTCGAAGCCTTAAGTGTGACCGCTCGTGAGTAATAGCGGGTCTCACGAGTGACAGGCGAGTGACACTCGGTTTAAAGGTGACGTGGGGAGGAACGGAAGATAAGGGCAGGTGAGAAAATGAGTGCTCTGACTGAGGAATCACTGAAGTGAGCTCTTCTTGCCTGCTTCGACGACAATGAAGTGCGAAACACTCTGCGACATATATTCAAGGAGAAGCTCGAATCTCGCGATAAAGAAATCAAGGAGCTCAAGAAACAAGTAAGTGAGCAACGAGAAATGATCCGAGCTCAGTCACAGGCAATTGAACATATTGAGCAGCACTCCAGACGGAACTGCCTCAATTTCAACGGCGAGGCTGAAACCACAAACGAAAAGCCGGTGCGCCTGGCCATTGACCTAGCCAGAACCATGGGCGTCCAGCTTCATGCAGGCTATATTGACCGCGCTCATCGGGTCGGCACACCTCAGCCCGACCCGGACGGCGGCAGCCGCACCCGACCGCTAATCGTCAGGTTTGTGTCCTACACGAAGAAGGAAGATGTATGGAGCTCCCGTAAGCAGCTGGAGACAACCCACCCACCTGGGCAGCCCTTCTGACTCCAGACTCC